GCTTTATTTTTAAAAAATTTATTTATTTATTTGAGAGAGAGAGAAAGCACATGCCAGGGGAGAGGCAGAGGAAGAGGGAGAAGCAGACTCCCCGCTGAGCAGGGAGCCCGACGCGGGACTCGATCCCAGGACTCCAGGATCATGACCTGAGCTGAAGGCAGACACTTAAGAGACTGAGCCACCCAGGCGCCCTGAAAGTATCTAGGGCTTTAATAAACTATGGATATGGGTACGTTTTTTAAAAAATTGAAATTGGATGATATGCTTCAGCCACCCAGAAATTTGAATAATTTGAATTGCCAGGGGAAGAGTCATTTTACATTTAAAAAGTTCTGACAAAATACATTAAAAATAAAAGTTTTAAATAAGTATTCTTTCTTTACCATGGCATTCAGGCAAAAAGAGTTTGCAGTATCATTCAATCACAGTTAAAGGAGTTCAGGTCTGAAATGGCATAAGTACTGATAAGGCAGAACCATGGCTTCTTAGAATTCATTATGTCTCCTTTGCTACCATTTATGAGCAGAACCAAAAAAACAAAGTACCTTGCTTCAATCTACTGCAAAGTAGCTCACCTCTTTCTCCATATTCTTTATTATTATGATGTGTTTGTAATTCATAATCACACATAAGTCTTGGGAGTTCTTACGCTTTTTTAGCCTACCAAAAGTAATAATAAACAGACAATATTTTTTCTAATACCAGTAACAAGTTAAGAAATAACATCTAAGAAAATTTCTTACCTCTACTATTTTTTAAATTATTGCGGTAGGTTAAAAGATAGTTTTATTTCTATTTTCAAAATTTGGAAAAAACCCACAAAAATAGATTTACATAATATCTCTGAGTATTACATGAAATTAGATACACTGTGAGAGAAACGTGTATCCTGAAAACATTCTACTTAGCCAAGTTTTGATGTTAACACAATTAAGGTAGGTGTTGGTCCCATTTTTCATTTGCACGTAATACAGAGAGAGTACATTGAACTAAACAATGGGGACTAATAGTCTCCAACAAATCAGCAAGAGGAGATTGATCATTCTTTAGGTTACTCTCTCTGAGATTTTGGTGCAATCGTTTTTCTCTTTGTGTAATATGGGCAAAACACTTTAAATCTTTAAAGAGATATTTAAAGAAGAAAAGAGTTACTGCAATCTTAAGTGTCACCTACAAGATATGGTGTCTTGTACGCAACAGTAGCTAAGGATGAATGCCCAGGTGTGTTAGCAGCATCTTGACAACACTAAAAATAAGATCAAGTCATTTGTTACATTGTCAAACAACATATGTAGTTATGCTTGGGTACATGTTATGGAATCACAACAGAATGGCTTTGACTGTTGAAATCACTTTTCACTCAACCTTATGAAGCAACTGATAGGTAAAACAACTGTTTAAGAATTTCTCCCCCTTTCCCTTGCTCTGCCTTCCCTTCTTCCTCTCTTTCTCTCCTTCCCTCTCTACAACTGCAATTATTTTGTAGGAATAATGTCAATTGCGTTGAGAATTCATCATGTGCTATATTTCTTAAACCCTTTTTTCCAGAAAAGATGTTACTTATGTGTTATTATATAAATTATATTCATTTATCTGCTTAGAGAACTTACTATCACCTAGGTTTTACCTCTTTTTGATATAATCCTAGAAGAAACAACCAGTGTTTTTTTGAAGGGAGGGAAAAAGGAGAGAGGTGGCTTACACAGCAGTTGGATTCCTTTTTCTTTTTTTCGTAACATCATTTTTGTTTTACTATCTTGGCAGCCAGAAGAGTCGTTAGTACTTATTATCACAATATGTTATTAAAACATCTCATTTGTTTTGAAGCATTTCACTTCATTAACCAAATACCCTAGAGAATTTTCATTATATTTCATTTATTTTGAGGTTCAGAGAGAAATTTTCTTTCAAAGATAAAAAGTTTTGGATAATAATCGTCAAATGCTTCTGATTTCTCAACACAAGTAAATAGGTAACAGAGCAAAGAGAAAAAAATAAACATACAAACTGAAGCTGTGAAGTGTAGAAAGAGACACGTTGAACCAGGGCTATTCCTGTTACTGAAATCCAAGCAGCCAGTGCATCTAGATAAGGCTCTTGTCTTTAAAATTCCTGCCATTTCCTGAGGAGGCCAAAAGGCCAGTGTTGAAAAGCCTCCAGTTGGAATTCTAGCTATCAAAGTAATGCATTTGGAAAATGTGTAAGTTCTATCAATCCATTTCACGATATAATGTGCCTGCTTACTGATGAAAACTAAAGCACATGGGATATTTAAATAACACAAAAAGCTAGTATTTACAGGGCATTATCTACAACCCTGTGAGGAGACATTATTATACCCATTTACAGGTGAAAATTTTGAGGTTTAGAAATTAAACAAACAACTTGTCCAAGATGACAGACTGGTATGGATGCAGAATTCATACATCCATTTGTTCGTTCCAAAGTCCTAACATATAACTGATCAGCTAAAACAGACATATGAAAACATGCTCCACAGCACTCATCATCAGGGAAATCCAAATCAAAACTACAATAAGGTACCACCTCACACCTGTCAAAATGGCTAAAATCAACAACACAGGAAACAAAAGATGTTGACAAGGATGCAGAGAAAGGGGAGCCCCTTACACTGTTGGTGGGAATGCAAACTGGTGCAGCCACTCCGGAAAACAGTATGGAGATTCCTCAAAAAGTTAAAAATAGAACTGTCCTACAACCCAGCAATTTTAATACTAGGTACTTACCCAAAGGACACAAAAATACTGATTTGAAAGGGCACATGCCCCAAGATGTTTATAGCAGCACTATCAACAATAGCCAGATTATGGAAAGAGGCCAAACATCCATCAACTGATGAATGGATAAAGAAGAAGTGGTACATATATACAATGGAATATTACTCAGTCATCAATAAGAGTGAAATCTTGCCATTTGCAACAGTGTGGGTGGAGCTAGAGTGTATTATGCTAAGCAAAATAAGTCAAAGACAAATACCACATGATTTCACTCATCTGTGGAATTTAAGAAGCAAAATAGATTAACATAGGGAAAGGAAGTAAAAAGAAAGAGAGAGAGAGGGAAGCAAACCATAAGAGACTGTTAAATATAGAGAAAAAACTGAGGGTTTCTGGAGGGGACGTGAGTGGGGGATGGGCTCAATGGGTGATGGGGATTAAGGAGGGCACTTGCTGTGATGAGCACAGGGTGTTATATGTAAGTGATAAATCACTAAATTCTACTCCTGAAACCAATATTACACTATATGTTAACTAACTAGAATTTAAATAAAAACTTGAAACAAAAAAGAACCAACTAAATTAAAAAAAAAACTCATCAGTTAAAAATGTTGATAATTCAAATGGAAATTTGACTTTTCTTCCAGAGAACTACCTTATACTAACTTAAACTCTCCATTTATTCATTGAGAACAGATACACTCTTTACATTTGTGAAGAAAAAAAAATACTATTTTCTTTATTCTACCTTAAAAATTAGTAACTCAACATTGGAAACAAGGAAGACCCACTTCTCCACACATCCCATAATGAGTAAAGACCAGAGCCCAAATGTGATATGCACATCCTAACTGCATAATCTCCTCTCACCTCTAGAAGCTTGCAATACAAACTGAAAAGAATTCAGAGGAGACCGAAGGATCTCCCCTTCTCCTAGTGACCACTCTGGCACAAGAAAAAGAAGAAAGAAAGAGAGAGAGAGAGTGAGAGAGAAAGAAAGAAAAAGGAAGAAAGGAAGAAACTACAACACTTATTATAGAATATTAATGAAACTATTTTTCTTAATATTTAGTGCGTTTTTCCCATCAATTCAACATGAATAGATAGAGGGTGATAACTCTGACATGCTATTTTTTTAATTAAAATGTAAGTGTTCTTAATACAGTTGGATATACTCTGCAAAATAAACACCAACAATGAACACATAAAATGACTCAACAATTGATTGGTAAACACCATGTAACTATGGAATAATTATATGCCCTGTGAATTATATAGTACTTATAGCTGACATTATTTAGGAAAACTAAGAAATGAACTTGTAATTTGTACTTATCAGATTTCAAATCCAAACAACCAGTTAAGTATCCTGTTATTATATAGAACTGTCTTATCATTAGATACCTGGTCAGTAATAATCATGCAATTAGTTACACATATCACACCCCAAAGAAAAATACATCATATCATTGGGACATCAAGAAACAATTCATCAACTTAGCACATTTAGAAAGGAAAGATGAATTTAAATATAGTGCATAAGGCATGCATACAATCATCCGATAAGTCTCCCAATGACCTGCTTGCCTGGCTCTTCTCATTATGCAGGTCTCTCTCAACTCTAACGTCAGCTCCTCAGCACGATCTTCTTTGGCCTTTCCTTATAAAGTCACCCCCCCAACACCCTTTATCATACCACTCTGTTTTATTAACATTATCAGACTTTTCACTCTGAAATGAACTTATTGCTTGTTTCTTTAAAAAAATATCTATCTCTTCCCCAAAAGACAGTGACATTTAAGATTGCAATAACTCCTCATTAGAAAAGGCATTTTGTCTAGTAAGTAAATGTCTCTTTCTGTTACAAAAGTGATCATGTCTGCCTGCTCAACACTATAATCCCAGTGTGTGGCACTTGCTGGGCACACAACACACAGGGATGTTTATTGGTGAATAATTGATTTACTGAGTATTTATTATCTTCAAGACACTTGGTTAGAACATAAAACTAGACAGATGGAGTCTCTGTCCCATGAGTCTTGCATGTCAAGATAATGAATTAATGTACCACAGACTTTCAAAGTATTTTTCAAAGCAGATGTAAAATTAAAAAAAAAAACTAACCTTAATACTTAATTCAAATATGCATTTATCCTCAATGCTACTATATTGTTTTAACCTGTTTCTACCTACTTTGCTTCACAGGAACATACACTGAATTGTTTGCCAACTGTTTCTGACCATACACATTTATTTCCACAGACAACAACATTAATTGGTCTTTTGAAGACAGCTCGACTCCTTCGTCTTGTGCGAGTGGCCCGAAAACTTGATCGATATTCAGAATATGGCGCTGCCGTCCTAATGCTTTTAATGTGCATATTTGCCCTGATAGCTCACTGGCTGGCTTGCATTTGGTATGCAATTGGGAATGTAGAAAGGCCCTACCTGACAGACAAAATTGGATGGTTGGATTCCTTAGGACAACAAATTGGGAAACGATACAATGACAGTGACTCAAGTTCTGGACCATCCATTAAAGACAAATACGTCACAGCACTTTATTTTACCTTCAGCAGTTTAACCAGTGTAGGATTTGGAAATGTGTCTCCTAACACCAATTCGGAGAAAATATTTTCAATCTGTGTCATGTTGATTGGCTGTAAGTAGATTTCTCTTTTGTTATCTATTAGGATAAAATATCATAAAATTGGTATCTGTAGACAATTCAGAATAAGGCAAAGAAAAAATTATAGAAAACTGTAGATGTAATGGAATTACATATATGGGTATTATATTCTATGAAACCTGATTCTCTCTATAAAGGGGAGATACCAAAAGGACTTTCAGCACCTCAGAAAACCGCAAACATAAAACTGGAGTGACATGGATCTTGTGATTCCAGAATTGAGACTTGTAGTTCGTTTCTGCTACTGTAAAAACATTGGTAGTGGTTATTTTTTATTTTAAGCTGAGGCCAGATTAGAATGGGAAAGATTAGTTTACATTACTAGATAGATAGATATATTTCTAAAAACAAAAAATATATTTGTATATAAAATATATAGAATAGAAATATATATCTTATATATCTGTATTTATAGATAGATATATACACAGATAAATATATATATATATTTTTCACCATTTATTGACTAAAAATTCCTTTCCCTATGATATTATGCCAAAACTTAAATGATTGCTCTTTACCTTGTAATGGGGTGATGAGATTAACATCATTAAGAGGCATGTTTTGGAATAAGAAACAAAAAAATTCTGCATTACCCTAAAGATGTTTTAATATTTTTAAAAATCATACTGCAGCGTCACTAAAGATAACTGCTGTGATACCAAGCAGCATTTGACAAATCCATAATGGATTTTTAAAGCTCAAAAAAGGGCATCATCCCTAGATGGTGTACAGATCTGAAAATAGATCCAGAGCTGATTTTAAACAGCATATTGACTAATGAAATGTACTTAGATAAGTTTTATTTATGAAACTTAAATCAATTCACCCAGTTTATTGTTCATTATATTTAAATTTTATTTTTCATATATAAGTTTTAGTATTATTATTTTAGTAAGATTTGTATAGGCAAATAGCATTATATTGAAATAACTTTAAGATATTGTACAGATTCAGGCTAAGTCTGGGCTATAAACACTGAAGTAACCTTGCACCCAGAAGGAAATGGAAAAGGGACCTACTAGGAAACAGAAAAATTCATTCCAGAGAGATTGAATCTCTCAGAACAAACACAGTCCCAACCACTCTGTGATTATAACTGCTAGTAAATACCTTATAGTGACTATCAATTTTAGTGAAATAGGTAGCAAACCAAGAAAATTTTTAAAAGTTTGTTCCTAATTAAACACCTGCATCTTGAAACTTAGAAATTGCTAGAAAGAATTTTCTAACCTGCTAACCACTTAGGAATTCCCATCACTTGTGAGGATTATGTTAAATACATAGTACTGTTTATCATATGAATTATTTTAAATTAAGGAAAACTCAGTTCTTTATTTGGTCTATACCCAATCTCTAATCCCTAAATCAGGATAATTGGCAATCTTTTCTCCTTCCTTCTTTCTTCCTTCCTATTTTCCTTCTTTCCTTCCCTCTTAAATATAGCACAAGGCTATTTCTATTGATTTTTTAAGAAGGATACTTGTTTTCTGCAGGTATTTTTCATCTTTTAGAAAAAGAGAAAAACTTCTAGTTAACTGAGTTGATTTTAAACAGCATATTGCCTAATGAAATATACTTAGATAAGTTTTATTTATGAAACAAATCAATTCACCCAGTTTATTGTTCATTATATTTAAAATTTATTTTTCATATATAAGTTTTAGTATTATTATTTTAGTAAGATTTGTATAGGCAAATAGCATTACATTGAAATAACTTTTAAGATATTGTACAGATTCAGGCTAAGTTTGGGCTATAAACAGTGAAGTAGACTTGCACCCAGAAGGAAATGGAAAAGGGACCTACTTTGTAGAAAACTAAGTAGAGTAAGATAGAACCACATTCCACATAATATACTTTATTGAATAATGGACTTGGTTCTAGAAACCTTAATCAAAAGGGAATTATGTAGAGCTCAGTGTCACACAGGAAAAAATTTATAAGTATTCCTGGAGAGTTCTTTTGTTGTTGTTGTTGTTGATTTTATTTATTTATGTTGATAGAGAGAGACACAGCGAGAGAGGAAACACAAGCCGGGGGGAGTGGGAGAGGGAGAAGCAGGCTTCCCGCGGAGCAGGGAGCCCGATGCGGGGCCCGATGCAGGGCCCGATGCCAGGACCCGATGCCAGGAACCCTGGGACCATGACCTGAGCTGAAGGCAGATGTTTAATGACTGAGCCACCCAGGCACCCCTTCCGAGAGAGTTCTATCATCACCTGTTATGCTACAAATAAAGAAAAAAGGTCAAATTAAGACTCAAAACTTAATAATAAGAATGCCCCAAAATCTGCTTAGCCATTTCATGTATATCCATGCATCTACGCATGATATTTCCACTCAGATCCAACCGTGTTAGAAAATGATTTGGTTGTCAGGGCGCCTGGGTGGCTCAGTCATTAAGCCTATGCCTTCGGCTCAGGTCAGGATCCCAGGGTCCTGGGATCGAGCCCCGCATCGGGCTCCCCGCTCCGCGGGAAGCCTGCTTCTCCCTCTCCCACTCCCCCTGCTTGCGTTCCCTCTCTCTCTGTGTGTCTCTCTCTGTCAAATAAATAAAATCTTTAAAAAAAAAGAAAGTGATTTGGTTGTCTTTGTTTAGTTATATTTCTACACTAAATGTATACTACTTAGATCTATGAGTGGCCCAATTTAAGCCTAAAATAAAACACAATATCTAAAAATACAATGTAAAATATTGTATATGTACTAATACTAGTTATAGTTTATATAGTCTAGTTATCAGGTTAAACTCTCTTATCATCCCTAAGCTTCTTTAAAACCAATCTTCATTCTAAAAGAAATATTTGAAACCAAGTTGTAAAAAACAAAGCGATCTATCATCTCTCTTACAATACAATTCGAAGAAACTAAAAATTAAACGTTAAAAGATACCATCTAACTAAATGCAAACAACTCAAGTGTCTGTAGATACATTTTAAAAGCTGCTATTTGCAAAGACAGTTACCAGTTGTACTGCTGAATGTGTAAAGAGAACAGTGACCAGAGAATTCATTTTAAAAGTGTACACAGTTCAAGACAAAAAATAAAGGCAAATTTAAGCAGCCATTAAATAAGTGTGAATATATGCTCATATCTTCATATTTATGTGTTACACAAGTTTATATTTTTGTTCAAATATTCTAATATATACATTTAATTTTAAAAATACATTAACCAGTAAATGAAGGTAAATGTATTCCATCTCTTACCCTCTTGACAAACATCTTGGGAGAATTTCTTGTTTTATAACATGTAAAAAAAAGTTACTGGATTTCTCTTTTAGCCATAATGGAATAACTGAAAATTTACCATATTCCCACAAAATTTTTGCAAATAAGAGAAAACTGAACAGAATACAGAAGGCACTTGTTTTCAGACATTGGAAAACAGATAGTAGGGAATTTTGATCCCTGAAGAAGGAAAACAAACAAGATGCGCCCCATGATATCTTCGGCCTTCTGCCTGGAGTCACTTTCTGGACCACACAGGAAGGAGAAGCAACATAAGCAGACACCAGTGGTCCCACTGAGTTAAGAAAACAAGATCAGAGGTCATGGTGGCTAAAGTGCTAAAATTTGCAAGACAGACAACCAGAGAAGAGGCAGCTATGGCAGAGAAAAGCTCCAGAAATATGCAGAGGTATCTCCTTGGATCGACTGATTAATACTAAGTCACAAATGCATAAGGGAAAACTCAAGGCCTGTCAAATAAATACCAGAAATACCATAAATTGAACAATTTCCAGAGCTCACACATGTATTAAAAATATTCAAGTCCCTGTCAGTAGAGTGAAAAGCCCTCATTGAATATCAAAGGTACTCATAAAAATTTCAGAAAAATGGTGCCATAGTACTAGGGCTAGTCTATCCCTAACAAAGCTTAAAAAGTAAGCCTCAAAAGGAACAGGCTGATCCACAAGTATTTTAACTGTGTGCAGGAACAATATCGAAGATTTATATCCAGCAGTGAACATGTTAAATTTACAATGTCCATCATCCATTAAAACATTAAGAGATATGTTAAGAAACAAGAAAATGTAACCAATAATGAAGAGAAAAAAATTTTAACACAGAATCAATAAAGAAGATGTAACATATACATACAATGGAATATTATTAAACCATAAAAAGAAAAAAAAATGAAATCTTGCCATTTTTGACAACATGGATGGACCTTGAGGGCATTATGTGCTAAGTGAAGTAAGTCAGACAGAAAAAGACAAATGCTCTATTATCTCACTTATATGTAAAATCTAAACAAAACAAAACAAAACACAAACAAATAAAAATAACCAAGCTCATAGATCCAGAAAACAAATGGGTGGTTACCAGAGGCTGGGGGTAAGGGGTAGGTAAAATGGGTGAAGCGAATCAAAGGTACGAATTTTCAGTTATTAAATAAATAAATAGGGATGTAATGTACAGTATGGTGATTATAGTTAATAATACTGTATTGTACATTTGAAAGTTGCTAAAAGTAAATCTTTTTTTTAAAATCTTAAAAGTCCTCATCACAAGAAAAAAATTCTGTGACTATGTATAGTGATGGATATTAACTAGACTTATTGTGATGATCATTTCTGACTGTATACAAATATCAAATCACTATGTTGTACTTCTGAAACTAATATAACATTGTACGTCAATTATATCTTAATAAAGCAAACAAAAGCCCAGAACCAGAATTGACAGAAATGATGAAACTAGCAGACAATACCAAGCACTTTAACAAATGTGTATGTGGATTCCCAGAAAATTGGGAAGGGAACCAGAAAAAAAATTTTTTTAATGGCTGAAATTTTTCCAAAATTGATAAAAGCTATAAACCACAGATCCAAGAAGTTTAGTGAATCCTAAACAGGTTAAACACACACACACACACGCACACACACACACACACAAAAGCACACCATACTCAAATTACTGAAAACTTAACAGGTTAAACACACACACACACACACACACACACACACT